ATTTTATAAAATTTTTCGACTCTACAAAGTTACATTAATCACATACAATTGTGATGCTATAAATATAATTAGTCACACAACTGCGAGCGTCAACAATAAAAGCGTAACGTAAAATAATAAATTAATTACAGTACGAGTGCGTTCACACGACTTTTATCACATTATAATATGAATACAATCACAATCAAAAATAAATATATTGTTAACTTAACTTTATTCGAATATTCAATCGAAATAATGGTAAGTGCATAAAATACTAACTTTTGTTCGCGGCTTCATCGGCGCGAAATAAAAAAAAAAACGTAGTTAGAAGAAGTATTGAGCCTAGTGCTCTTCCAGATTATGTTGTACATCTGTGCAGAATTTTATCGATCTCTGTTAAGTCGTTCATGGCCGCCTCACAAACATCCATCAATCAAATCTTTCTCATTAATTCTATTAGTAAGAAGTGCAGTGGTCAACTCTTCCCATCTTTAAAATTTGTAGTAGTTATTTTACATAATAAATTCAGATTTTGTGAACATAACTATGAAAATCTTGCGAACTAGCTGGTTATAAATAGTGCTGTTGTTCCCTGAACGGGGCTTCCATTTACTTGGTAATTAGTTATGGAGCGGGTTACGAGCGCCGAAATGTCGTGACAGCTTCGTAATTTCAACGCTCGACGTCGGCGGGCCGCACCGCGCTGCGCCGGCCCCGCGCCGTCCCCGGACCGGCACCGGCCCGCGCGCCCTTAATTAAGCTTTGCTAACAACCATACGGGACGGACACGACATTTATTTAATAGAAAACTGTGTGAATTTTACGATCAGGATGCAATTAAACTTTTAACCAAAACTTAAAGCCACCTGGTAAAGTGTCCAATCATTTTAGATAGATTGTCAGCTTTTTTATAAATTCGCCAGATTGGCGTAGAATTTATTTGAGTTGCTATACGATATGTTTCGGCGAAAATCAAGTAATAATTTTTAGATTTCTTGAGTACACATTGTCCATATTATTGAAATACTGTTTAATGTTCGACAGAGTTATGAATAATTCATGCTATTATGTGACGTCATGGCTGGCAAATATCAGACTGACACTGCTATTAGAAAGTGTATCAAGTGGTATTAATGCGCGTTCGCTGCACGCACGAGCAGCCCCCCCCCACCTCCCGCTACCGCCGCCGCCCCCGCCGTCCCTGCCGGCTGCGGCTGCTGCCGGTGATGGATTGATGTAATGGAAGTCGATTGTGTAAACTTTGGAAATTATACAAGTAACGGGAAGTCCGTTTTAGATTCAGAGGTTATACAGTTTAAAACTGAAGCATGATCTTTCAATAAAATAAAGTAAAGGTCTTCGTATAGAGTCCATAAAGTTTACCTCCATATTATGGCACTTTTTAGTTGTCTGTAACTGGTTCGTGTCGTACACGTGTCGTGAGGTGAAAGTGCGACTTTTGGTCCGTGGGTGTGGTGTTATGAAGGGTAGCATGCTTTAACAAGTCCCAGTTGATTGTGACCCAGTAATTTCGTGTATTAACGCAAAGAGCTTCCGAATCGGGCATGTCTGCGTTCGAGCGGCGCTCGCTCCTAAATCAAGGCAGTAGGAAATTAAATTCGGGCATCGCAACATGATGCTTCATTAGTTGCTGACGAACAAGGCTCAACTAGCTAATCAGTTATGTAAAACCGATATTGTAGCTTAATTTAGATTGGTTGTCTATTTTTTGTGGTGTTTTGCAATTATTAATGTTCATTCAAAATTTACTAATTGGGGTGGGTTTTGTTGCAGGTGACATTTACTCACAGGTGAGGTGAGATCAGACGATGTAATTCCTGGCGGGCTCCCGCCGGCCGATGGCGAAGGGCCAGGCCCGCGCGCGGCTGGCAGCGGCCACGTTGCCGTTGAGCAGTGCCACCACGTCGTCCAGGTAGCGCAGCGCGCGTGACTCCGCCGCCAGCAGCCGCGCCGCCGCAGCACACCGCCGCGCCCGCGCACTCTCCGCCTGACAATACACAACATCTTAATAACTATAGGTGCTAATGTTTAGTACTATAAAATCCGTAATTCCTGTTTACACCTCTGGGTTACGGACGTGATGGTATTACTGTGCGTTGTAAGAATGAGAAATAAGATAACTTGCAGTAGAATAATGCATAAATAGATTACGCGACCTTCTTAGTTCGATCAAAACGCATCACGATGTACTGCATTTAAATTGAATTAGAATTGCAGGTATTCGTTCGAGTGTTGTGCGTGCCGCGCCGTGCCGTGCCGTGACGAGCCGTGCCGTGCCGCTGAAGCCTTAAACTAATATTACCTACATACATCGTCTTTTCTACTGTTTTTATATTTATTTAAATAGAATATACTATTAATATTTTTAGTTGAATTTAATTAGGTATTATATTATACTTTATACTTCAATTTTGATCAATTCGACAATGTGTAAAGATAAATAATAACTTTATATCAAAAGTATTTGTAATGCACATTTAATATGCGAAATATGAAATTGTCTAATTATTTTCATAATATTTGTCTGTGAGCTGGTTGGTGCGCAATGAGTGCCAGATGGACGGACAACATTTCATTTCCGCGAGTGGCGAGTGGGGATGCATTACCGTCTACTGCGCATTGTGCACCTACGTTTTGTTACCTCATAGAACAAAAGAATAGTTTTTCGGTGTGAACAACAAGGAACTGGAGATTTCCACAAGTTTTTTTTAAGTGAAACTTTTGCAGGTGCCTTAAGTTATGAATGGACTTGGAATTATGCATTTGGATTACTTAGATTTGACGAAGGTAATAAAATAAGGTTTAATTTCTGATTTGTGACGCATCATACTATTATTGGTAACATGTTGTTTGTTTAATTATTGTAGTAATTCTGTATTATTCTATAGTTAAATCTACAAGAAATTATGTATGTAAAATATTAAAAATAACGCAGTGTGATGTTTGAAGTAGAGATATAGGGTTGTCCGGTGAGGTAGTGCGAGGGAAAAAACACATCCGTTAGCTACCCGTTCACCGCGGACGTGGTTATGCTATACTGATATATGCGTTAGGTGAACAACACATCTCGGTGTTTGTGAGGCTGACAAGAAGGCATTCTCCCGTCAACTTTATATATCGTATGGTTTGAAATTGTGAGAAATTGTTGTTTATGATGCTTATAATTTGTTATTATATTCCTTTTATTGACAACAAAAAATTTTTAATTATGTACGTACATTATTACATAGGTCTATTGCAAATACAGGATAATCTGTCCATATATCTTTTAATAAGTTTTGGTTAATATACACTGCGATTTACGTGGTTTTGGTACTTTTAGTAACGTCCTCAATTTAGCTGTATAGTAGTCACTGTAAGCTTCAGGAAATTCAGGCGGCGGTCGTGTGTGAATTAACAATATGACCATAAATATTTATGCGATCCTCGGCATAAATTAAACGGAATCGATTTTTAGTCAAAGTTGTTTTGTTTACCAAAACCGGACACCGCTTCAGCTTTGCCGTTAATTTTAGAATACAGGAGAATTTATTACACACTTGTTTACAGTTGGATATTATAAGGCTTTACTTGTCCTTAAGATTTTTATCAATAAAAATAAATAGAGTTAACTTTGTGAAAACAAGGTAAGTAAATCAAATAAGGTCAAGCAATGTTGACTTTTGAAAATTTTTGACGTTACCTAGAGTGAGGTTGTAGTTTTCACGAAAATAATAAAAATATGTAGTTTCATTTGGTCAACAAATAATAGGATTAAATATATTATAAGTTAGAGAACATTAAGTTAATTAAGTGTACTCATAAAATATTAATAAACGTGGTCTGCAAATGGTTCGTTAACTGCTTGTTTTGGTTTGCTGTAGTTAGTTAATGTTAGAGATAATTAATTTAATTGATGTGTTATTTTGTTGTTGTAATGAAATCAGCAATTCGAGAGTTAATTTTGCTAACGCATTTGAAAACCAATACTAAATGTATGGATACTGTTCAGATTTTATATATATAATGTAAATGGTTTCTAATCAAAATAATGTAACATAAAAATATCCTAATAGTCTAATCGTTGGTTTCTGAGACCAAGTATATCAAGTTCCTCTCTGTTTAAATTATCGCCATCGTTGTCAATATTTTTGACAAAACCGAGATAACAATAATTTTAAACGGGGATTTTGGTCTCGGAAATCCATTGTAAGCAAAGTAAGTTAGTTAAATAAATAATATATTTAAGTAAGTAATGTTTACAAATATAACTGTTATGCTAATTATTGCTTATCTCGACGTCTGGTACCGTTCACTTATTTATAGTGTGATAACAATTCTTATCAAAACGGTATCACTGCAGAAATTAAAACAGTATTGTGTTGTAAGTACAATTGAATTAAAACATCCTTTTCTTTATCTATTATGAATTGTATAGTATGTTCCTTTTATGAATGTAAACTAAAATAAGAAACATATAATTTAGATGGAGTTAGAGCAACTTCCTTAAATCTTATAAAGCGCTGATCTTTAAATAAATTATCAAGTTTTAACAAGCGATACTTTGGTAAATCACGTCGTTCTAATTAGGTATATTTCCGCGATTTTTATCCGAAAAAACCTAAGATTGGCCATGTTTTGTGATTGTTATAATTTGAAGTAATAATTATAACTTTAATAACGTATGAAATCAGAAGGAAATATGTGGCTTAATGAGATATAATTTAGGTAGGTATATTGTACCGTACTAGAAATAAAAATAAATTGTTTACTAACCAGAGACGATGAATTATTTTTCCCAATTAAGTAGTGAAATTTAAAACGGTTTTAATTTTTTGCTCCCCTACCTTACTGCAACACTGCATCCATTAGTTGTTCACGCATCGCGTATTCACCAAGTTTTCATTGCGCGCGCAAAGCATCAAACATTCTGCGCGCATCGGGCACGTCACGCAACACAAATTCCAACCGATTCTGACACATAAACAAGTATTCTGACAATTATTACTAAATGCATTAGCGCAACGTGTACCGTTAGGAAGAAACTAAGAAGGTGATTCGCGTTAATGGCGGAACGTATGTGCTGTGGGTGACAGGGGGAGTGTGCGTGTGTGTGCGAGCGGTGACGGTGCCAGAGACGCCAGCATCGGTACCAACGCGTCAGAGGTCGCGGCGGGCCGTGCGCCGGGCGAGCACCTGCATGTCCTCGTGGATACCCGCCAGCTCCTCGTGCAGGCTGCGCGACTCCGCTAGCAGTGCGTCCAGCCGTCGCGCCGCACCGGACAGCCCGCAATCCTCCTCCTCGTCCTCCTCCACCGACAGGGCCAACTTTCCCATCCTCTCCCTCTCCATTGCTTCCTTCGTACCTCCCTCTCTTTTTCTGAACTCCCGGAGGAGGTCGCGTCTGATGCCCCCCGCCTTTTCCTCCTCCTCTGCCTCTTTTAACTCGTCGGCCAGAGATCTTTCGGATTTTATCGATTGCTGCTCGTTAGATTTCTGGTCCCGGTCTGTAGCTTCGGAGAGACGTGGTTCTGGTGTGCACGTGTTCGATATCTGCGGGCTCGGGGACAGCAACGCTCTCTGCAAGAACCTTCTGGTGTCCTCGTCGAAGGGCCGTGCGAGCCCACGACGCGGCGCTGGCCTTACTATTGCCTCCAACGCGTCTCTGCCCGGGTCCTCCGGTCTCAAAAGTTCCAAGATTTTCTGTCGCGGCGGAGACAGAGTGGAGTAAACGTCATATTTGGACACTAGTTTTCCTTTGTCGGGAGAAGTATTTATATCGCCGGTCGGGGAATACGTGCAAATGTTTTCGTTCAACATTCGGTAGTTACGGATCTTGACGTTTCCTTCGGGAGGCAGGGCGACCGCGGGGCAGTTCTCCGGCGCTGGCTCAACGATCTCGATGGCCTGCAGCGCAGCGTCGACGGTGACGCGGGGCTGCGTGAAAAGATTCATGACACGCACGGGCAGCGCAGCCGGCGCGGGCTGGCAGCGCGGGCGTCGGGCGCGGGCGCACTGAATGAGGCACGAAGCGCAACTCCCGGCCGAGCAGTAAGGGTGTCTACTCACAAGCGAGTTGATTGATATACTTAGACAAAATAAAACAACGGAACCGTTTTTGGTTAATAGAATGCGATTTCTAAACAATGAGCGCTGCTTGATCGATTGATTACACTGCCGCATGTGATAATATCCGCGCCACTGACACTAAACTCGTTCACTACATCACTTTCACAACAATAACAAATCGATAATTAGGTATTTAAGCAATTGAGTGGTGGGAGCGTTGATTAGGTAATGAAGTGGGTCGTGTGGGGTGAATCAATCAATTGGCGCCAAATACAACTGCACGCTGCACTATGCGTCTTGCGGCGAGCGGCGTGCGGCGTGCGGTGTGGGGTGTGCGACTTGCGGCGCGTGCGACTTGCGGTTTGCGGCGCGCGCGTGTGCCAGTGTTGCGGCGAGTCGGGCGCGCGAGGTACTGGCCGCCGGCCGCACTCATGCCCGCGCTAATTTAATTTATAATAGTATATGTCCATCTGCCGCGACTATATTCCTCGATTGTTAACATTTTTTATTTGTATTAATAATTACGTTAAATATTGTACAAAAAGTATAACAATAAAGTCAATATTTGAAGACAATAGAAAAAAAAAATAATGAAACATTTGAAATATTTTTTATTGCATTTAACACCTTTATAAAAAGCCGTGTCGCAAGGTGCATGATGAGCAGATGCTATAGAATACTTACCGACACGGCAGATGTTACTCTGCTTGTTCGCTAACCTTTTGATAACGATATCTTACGACATTTCTAAAACATTCTTAGTAAAAGCAATAAAATTTTGAATATTATATATATATTTATACATAGAATAGAATGTACTCTGATTCATTTATAACATAATATACGATAAACATGGTTTTGTTTTTATAATAGTTATTATCTAAGGTTATTAGATCTAGACCACGACCTATTGACAAGCGTACAGTCAGACAAGCAATCGTCGTTGGTCGTAACGATCTTGACAGGGCTGATGTAGGCCTAGGGTTGCCAAATTCCAAAAAACGTCGGTGGAAAAAAAAACAAAAACAGAATCCATTTTTAGCGGACAAAGCGGCAGCCCTAGTGACATAGACTGTGACGATGGCGATAATCGTCTTGCGATGCGCATACGCGACTGCTGCCGTGTTACACACTTGATTTATAATGATATCAAATACAAACAATTATTTATATGAAAGCTATAAAACTTATAAGAAAATAAACGCAAAATACTTTGCTTTTCTCCACATTCTTTTATAAATATAAGAAACTGTCGCCCGCGACTCCTTCCTCGTGACATAAAATAAACCTAATTAGTAGCCTATGTGTTCTTACAGATTGTTCTATATCCATCCATCCATCTAAATGTTCGCATTTATAATATTAGTAAGTCTATTGTCTAAATATATATGTATTATTTTGTATCGAAACTGATGTTTTTGTTTCACTAGAGACTGTTTTTTTGTGTCTCCGGTCTAGCTGGTTTATTTATGTAATAACTACTGCCGTTAAATGGCAAAAAATTATTTGCAATCATATCCCTGTATTAATTATGTTGAAATTATGTTTTTACTGGTTTTTGCTCAGACATACGTGTGATTCGGCATAGTAGGAACTGGTTTGATTATGTTATTTAAATCTATAAAATATACTAGCTCGCGTCCTCGATTTTGTTCGCATGAATTAAGACATATCTCTTTATAGTCTTTATGACAGAAATCTTTTTCGTATGTACTTAATTAAAGTTGTAAATAAAACTTATGAACCAAATAAAGAAATGCAGAGGAATCAGTTTTCGTGATATTACAAGGCACTCACCCGAGTTTAATAAAATGCTGGTAATTATTATTCTAAGAATTATTGTAATATAAAATAAATAACAGACGGGTATTATATAGAACTTTTTGTATATCCTTTAAACAATTATACGGATTTGCAAAAAAATAATTTATTAATATTTCTAATGATATTAGATATAATTATATTACTACTTAACGATAAAAAATTAATTAATGGATTAAATTAATCGTTAATTTAATTTATTACAATTAAATTTATCATTAAGGACTAGTCTTATGATAATCTGTTAAATGTCGTATATATTGTTACAACATAAAACTAATAAACGATATTATATTCATTAAAAAATCTTTTAATTATTTTATTTATCTGAAAAAATATCTAAAAACCTAAAAAAACATATTCCTCATTCCTCTTTTATGCAGTAACATCTATGAATAGTCCTAAACATTTACACCATTAAGTTTCATTGAACCTATTTTTCGATTTAATTATTAAGACTGATGAAGGTATAATGGTTGTCGATGGCTTACTATTCATATTCTAGTATAAATGTCATTGATTGCGCGAGCATGGCATAGTCTACATTCCGTCGCTTACAATATGTGTTAATTAATGTACACGTCGGTCGAATGCTTTGATTAATTTGAATATCTGAAGCCATATCGCGGCTCGTGCGACTCTATCTAACCAGACGAAAACCGGGTCACGGTGTCATTGCATTCCTTTCAATATTAATCTGATTTAATTTGTGTGAATGAATTAATATAATGGAAAGATTTATGCAATATTTTAAGTTAATCAATTGATAGAAACCAGTAAATGCGGCAAATAAAAAAAAAACATTTTAGCAGCATATGTTTTTATAAGTAAAGATTCCACATTGAACTTCGACATGTCAATATATAAGCTGTCTACAAGATTAAAAAACCAACAAAACTATTAAATACACTTTAGTTTCCAATTTGGAAGTTACAAAAGTTTTAAATAAGGTTACAACGAGAAGGATTAATTTGGTAATGGTCTTGGGAATGTCCACGTATGTTAGAAGACTTCTTTGTTAGACTTTTAGGATTTATTCTAAGTTAAAAGCGACGTCTCAGAGGCGACATCTAGCCGCCTCCACCTGCAATACGGAGTCCGCTTCTAATATCCCTAGTGGGTACTTGCTTTTTACTAAAACTTATAAGAATGGTCTTAACTATATGTTATTCTTAGATGGACATTTTTTGTATGTTTCTTTTAGAACTTCATTGAGACTTTACTTAATCAGAACTGTTAACAAGATAGTCGTTCCAAGAGGGTGCAAGGATTTGATGTTGATAACTAGAAATATAAAACCTGTAATCTCACAGATTAACAATCTTCTACGAAACGTTTCCGACTAAATGCTTGATGAGCTTTAAAGCTCTGGTTTAGAGTTTCCCAAAAGCAGTTCTTTCAAATTCTAATTATTCTTCTTCATAATCTATACTTAACATATAATATTTAACATTTGTAACTATTGTATTTATTTGTAAATGGAAGCAACATTTAAGCAGAGATCGTTTAGAATATGTTTCGTGTCTTGTAATCTTCGTTACGTCGTGTTTGTTCGTTGATTTCATGTCGTAATGATTTAATGAGTTTGTCATGGTATTAAATACGAATTAAACATTTTTTTTTGATATTGAATGTAATGATAATAATGTGCGCACTATCAGTGGACGTCCTTTATATCAGATAGAGGTGATAACGAGCCGCGCGGCGCTGATATGTAGAATTAGAGTGAATTTTCGGCGCTCACTTATCATCGGCGGTGGTCTGGGGTACCTACTGACAGCCTCCGCCCCTCGCTGGCTGACTGGTATTCGAGACCTCTGCTGATCCTGGACCTCTACCTTTTTTATCTTAATTTTTTTTGTTAATACCTAATCTTGATTGATTAACGCAATTAATCGATGATAACCTGATTGTTCATTGCTTTAGGATTTCGTGTTATTTTTTTAATATTTTGTTAGTTTTTTTAAATTAATTTGTCAGCCATTTAATTATTATATTTTAGGAGATTTATTTTTAAAGTAAATTTATTAATTGTTATTAATTTATGCAACTTTATTATGTTCGATTGCAGAAACAATATTTTACAAACTTCTTTATTTTAAGTTCAATATAATGATTTTTTTTATATGAACATCGGCTACCCGTTTCGAATTTCACCATATATATTTATATGGACGTTTATGACACAAAAGAATCATGGCTATCGTAATAATATTGTGTAAAATTATTTGAAATTTATCAGAAAGTTGAAGTTTCTTGTTGCTTACGCCACCGTGAACTTAAAATGAAATGTGAGAGCTTTTTCGGGGGATAAAAACTTGGCAATTTGTAAAAGTAAAACGCTCCTTGCTTTGTAAGTATTACAGTTCCTGGAAACCGGGCGAGGCAGGTACTAGGAAAGCAGAACAGCCGTCGTCCGCCGCATGCTTCTTATAAACTACAACTTTGCGAGATCCATTACCTTTTTTTTAGATGTTTAAGGCAAATTTTCCGTGTAATTTCTTAATAGAAAATACCAGCCATTTGTTGCTATTTTGTCTCCTTTTTTACCATAAACGCTTTCCTCGCATCAAAAACCAGTTCCCCACAGACCCTGTTCCGCCTGCGAACCTTAACCACATGATGTATTATTCACTAACCTTTTTTGCACACGGAAAAACTTTTATTTTTATTTCCCCATACCAGGGGGCATACTGGAAAGGACTTACAATCATAAAATATGAATAGAAAGTTTCTATTTGAACAAACGGATGTAATTAAAATCTGTGTTGGGAGATAAGGCGGGCGGGCGGTCGGACGGCGGTCCATTCACGGAGCTCTGCCGCTGTCGGTCGCATTCGATTGTGACGTCATTGGCGAAGTTCGTGTCGATTGTGCGGCGACCAACCTGCTCTAGAGCCGTCCGACAATGCACAAAGATTTTGATCTTATTCTTGCAATCCACTCGCCTTGTACACTGCCAATAACTTATTCTAAGAAACGTAGCAAACTTATCGGCAGTGGGTTCAGATACGCTATTATAAGTATTTTTACAATAATATGAAAAACAGAATTTATTTTACGTCTTTTAATAATTTGTTTCGAAGACGTGAATAAGCAGGATGCTCACCTAATATAATTTTTCGGCGAACAACAAAAAGGTTTTGGATTAAGGTTATGAGAATTGGATTATAGTTTCTTTCTTTTCTTCGTCTTTTGACAATTTTGATACCTTACCGCGACGCGTGTTCCAAACTAATCTCTCTTACCTTTTCAAAACTCATCGCGAACTTAAGGGTCCTGTCAAAAAGATACCTGCGCTTGAAGTGCCCTTGAGTAAAGTCGAGAGGCACTCAGGACTCGAGTGGCGTGGAGTGTCGGGCGGGCTGCGGGGGGGCGAGGCCGGCTGGGGGGAGGTTGTAATCAGCTAGGGTACGCTGCCGGCGTCAACTTGAGAAGTCGGCGTTGGTCAGTCGGACCTGACAGCTCGTGGTTCGAGACTAATACCGACTTTAGGGAAGGATGTGAGTCTTATCATGAGTGTATTTTTCTTAGTTTTGTTTGCTTGGTCGATTGAATGTTAATACAATGATCGAAAAGTTTACTTGTCAAATATTTACTCGTGATAAATACGTAGTTACGGATTGTTATAGTTCGATTCTAATACTGGTCAAAGGTACACAAAAAGAAAACGGTATATTGGGCAGGTTATATTTTTGTTTGACCGTTTTATTCAAATTTTCAAAATAACGCTTAAAACTTTACGATCAGCCAATGTTACACAATACTTAACTATGTTTTTTATAAAGTGTTTTATTTTCTCTTATAACATTAATTTTACTTTATCTTTATCACATTAACAAATGCAATTGATTATCACCCTCAGCGATAATAGATGGCGTTAATCAATAATTACTTTATTTAGTTTGATTTTTATACACATTTGTTATTTGAATGTATTGATGTTACAGTAAAATATTTTTTGAAAATAAAAAAAAAGTTCTAGTGTAACCTAAGCAGATAATCTTTTATAGATTTGATTGAATGTTTAAAGTATTTTGTTTCAGTGTTGACTTGCGTGGAACATTCTGTGAGCAGGTCCACACGGCCGCCAGCAGATTGCAAGTGTCCGTGGCATGCAGCACGCCGCTACTTCAACAGGTCGAATGTGTTAAATGTTCTGTACATTTGTTTCTATTTCGGAGGATCGCCAATCGACGCAGAAGTTATTTTTATAATGTCGTTAAATATTACTTAATTAAAGTTATATTTCACTTTTCATGTCATTTCAAGCTTTTATCTGATATTTTTGACACCAAGCAAATATGTGGTTAATAGAACTACGGCTATAAATAGAAGAAGTAGTATATTAGTCCCTTAACAGTAGCACTGCGCTACGGCAGCGTCGTAGCCGCTACGATGTGTTAGTCAGGCTGTTATAAAAAAGTAAAATATAGTAAAAAGAACATGACATTTAAGTTCGTAGACACGCACACATAGTTACAATGTGTTTTGTTTATTTTATTTACGTACCATTAAGAACAACAAGTCCCCACCTGACACTCGGTGTCCCAGCATCAGTACGATGACTTTACGCGTGTAATTACTGCGACAGAACTCTACCGCCTCGAGTGCTCTCAATCTCGTCTCTACGCAATTGTCTACGAAACCTTTTACAATTGAAAACTGCATCTACAATTTATATGTAAGATTGTAGTTATTATAACAATGTAAATCTAAACTAAATATTATACATTTTAACTAACCATGTAATCATACTTAATACTCATAATACATAAGTGAAGGAAAGATTTAAATTGATTGAAGCTTAATATAGAAACTGCTAAAATATATTGCTGGGTTGAGCTTGCCCATTTATCTTCGCGCATGAGTATGCACAGTCCTAATTTATTTACCCCAGTACATGTATGTATACTTATGTATTTAATATTAAAAGGGGATGAAGCTACGCGTACATTTTAATTTAAAAATAAAACGTCATTTAATATTAATTAGAGTCGTAATATGATATTGATTGAGGTGAGTACTACTGATGGTGAGTGGTGTGCCAAGGGCGAGTCATTCATTCCCTCGCTGAAAGAATGACTCAGTGGTTGGTAGTATCTGCAAGCGAGCGCCGCTTACTCCAAATAACTAATGTTGCCAGATTAAACTTTGCTAAAAGTTAGCGGCAAAGTGTATACTTAAAGATATGAAATTTTCCCGCTTTGCCCATCGCTAGCTGGAATATTACATACTAAAAATATTTACGTTGTAATGACTAACGATTCAAATGTTACGAGTAAATATATGACAGGAATCGTTTTAACGTATTTTTTTAAGTTTAAGTTTTGCTAACAAGCAACATTACATGGTGTGTTTGGCGCGTGCGCGGCGGGTTCGGCGGTCGCGCGGTCGATAGGGCGGCGGGGGGTCGCGGTGAGTAGCGCCAGTCCGCGCCGCGCCGGGCCCCAGCCAGCCCGCGCCGCGCCGCCATGACGGCGCGCGCGCTCTTTACCCTGTGCATCGCGATATTCGCCGCTGCGAGCCTCGGAAATGCCGAGAAGAGCAAGTTCTGTAAGTACTCTACTGCCATAAGTCACTACTTTAATTTACATTGACGTATCTACTATATGTTATTTCGTTTTGCCGCCCGGCGTCCGTACAACGCCCTCTAGCGGTTGCCGGATTGAATAAAAGTAGAGTTCGCGGTTATTACAGTTTAGATGACTCCATTTTGAAGCAATTTCCCGTTTCAATATCATATGGAATCACTTTATCCGCGATGAATACTATTTGCGAACCTAAATTTAATTCCTGGATACTTTACGCTGAAATATAGACTTAAAAAATTCGATGGAAATGACATCAAAAGTTTGAAAAAGCAATTGAATATTTTTCAATGCTGTGGAGGTCATTGGTATTAATTATTTAATTTGTTAAGTTTTCATTACGTTTGTCCGCCAAGATAAGTACACGAAGGTAAGAAGGATTTAGCGGATTATTACACGTAAAATTAGAGTGGCTCATAGTAACGGAAATAGGTCATAGAGACAATAAGAAATGAAGCGCGGCGTGGCACGGAGGAGCGGCGCGGCGCGGCGGGTTGCGCGCGAGGCCCGAGGCGTGAGCCGCGGCCGCGTGTACGGTGCAATTACTATCGTATACAAGACCTTACGCTTACGCTCCACTTCTGAAACTGCCATAGGGATGTTATTAAAGACCTCCCACGGATTTATACGGCGCACTCTATTTTTATATGACGATAAATATGCTTCTTTCTGTATAGTCTAAATAATGAAAATATATATTTATGTATCTCAACTTCTACTTTTGTTTGATTTTTAGGACATTACGATTCCTGCTGATAGAGCAGTTAAAAGGTTGAATATAATAACTTTCCATTCCATTTTCCACAGTTTTGTATTGAATACAAGTAATAATGTATTTATTGACGTAGATAATAGATAAATTTCGATTTAAAACTATAAACACACATATCTCGAAGTTTACATATATTGAGTTTATTAGACCTTTCACATGTTGATAACATTTGAACTTAAGTATTACTAAAGTACTTGTTGATTTTCTGCCAACCTTCAGACAACTTGTTGGCTATCTTATCGACGGGGCCTGGTCCGCCGCAGTGCCTGGCTGGGCCGGCCAGCAAGACCGCATCGCCTGGGCCCAGTCTCAGACTCTTGTCGATGGTTACGTGACCTCCAGTGGATAGGCTAGAGCCTCCTGAGCTCGCAGCCACTGTCATAGTTGGCGGGAGACCTGGAACGTTTGTCAGTTCTACATCCAGCTGACTTCTTCCAAAGTTGACGACTACTAAGAGAGAGCCGCTGCCACCCCATCTTAGAACTGATAGAGCGTTTCCTAAGCGCCTGATCTGAAAATCATATTTATTGTAATTCATTAGTTTGTTACAATCTTACCGCAGTCGATATAAGTAATGTGCCGTTTGCCAAGATTAAGATGGCTGTTCCCATAACATAGAGCATAGAGCATAGAGAAATAGAGATCAAGTTACGTAGTTAAGTAAAGTATGCTATATATTTATTATACAATTCAAACAAAAGATGATAAAGCCCGAGTAATATACGACGGAACAATTATTTATTCCCACGTATATTCTAAATCAAGGTTTTTCTACAAATTGAAATAATAGACCAGACTAAGTGAAAATACGAAGTTTTATCGTGTAGGCGAAAGTACTAGAGAGATTAAATAAATACTATCTTTTACGAGCTGTTTATTCTGAAAGTGCTTCATTTTGTTTTAAAAGTATTATGAAACCGCGCGCGTCTGCCTCGCAAGGATTAGAGGACGTGAAAATGTATAGTGTTCAGTATAAAGGAGGCGGTTGTGGATTGCATCACATTATTTTCCCGTACGAGTAAATTCGAATTTAAATTTCAGAATGCGAGCATACGTTAGTCCGGAGCACGCCGCTCGGCCGCGCTCAAACAAAATGCTTTGAAGATGCTCGCCGCGAAATTTTTGAAGCGCTTGTTAAGAAAGGAAATATTTTTCTTTAAGAAAAATTTCGATAGGTATTTCGTTAAAGATATAAAACATGGTAAACACAATCTATATTAAATGTACGGGTAATCTATTCCTTAAAATTATTGAGTAACAAAATATCCCTGAATTTTGTTAGCTAATAATTTTCCGACATTGATGGCAAAGAACCCATGTTAGTTATAGTTTGCTGGTATTATATACTTAAGCATTCAACTATTAATTCATATTCAAAACATGAAAAAAAACAATTCTAATATTACCTCTGTATGTGGTCCCATAGCCAGCGACTTCCTCATAGCGGCAGCAACTCTGACGACACCGACGTGACTTAACTCATTAGCAAACTCTGTCTTCGCGTTTGCATACCTATAGTTCGTGGCAAGAGGTAACCAGGGTTGTCCACTCGTGAACCCTGCACCGGGCGTGTCATCCCACGGGAACGGTGCTAATGAAGGCTCTCCTTTAGCTGGCCAGCAATCAGCAGTAGACACCCACTCTAGGAGAGTATCGGCAGCGCCTAGCTCGTCTCCTTGCTGGATTATAGCAGCACCAGGCAGTATAAGAGCCAGCAAGTTGACAGCATCCACCATCTCACTACCGTACCTTGTCGCTATTCGTGTTCCACCGGTTATGCTCGTCTGTTGAGACATAAAAGCTATAAATGCAAATAATAATATTACTAACACATATTAATTAATCTAAGCATTAAATAAAAAAAATCTACATCTATGCCAAATTTCAAACGAGATCCGTTAAGCTCTTCTGGAAGTATTATACTTTCTAACAAACAACCATAAAAAACCAAACCTTCGCATTTATAATATTAGTAAGAAGTAAGATTTTTATTGATCTCTATGTTATTTGTATCGGTTAAAATAATTTTTGGTTAACATGATATACTTTTTTAAACAACGAAAAAACTGTTGTATTTTATTCATGTTTATATTCTAAAATAACTGACAATAAAATAAACTTTACAACCAACATAAAATACTCTATTCTTTCAACTGATTCTCCATTAGATAAAGTGAATTTTGAAACAATTTAGTATAAAGCAAGCGAGGTGGTGTTGCGATACATTGCCGTTGTGGTTGCGACTCAATTTACGGCCTGCAGATGGTATAATAAAGATGCTTACTTGCCAAGTGGCCGCCATGTCTTGCGGAGAGCGGAACATGTCTGTGAGCACCGCCACAGCCAAGTCTGGGCCGGTGGGTCTCGTAGGCGATGTCAGCGCGTTACTTATTACACTATTGGCACCGTTTCCTTCGTAGTCGTAGAGGGCGCCATCTGCCGGACTCGCTTCAAGCTCGACAATAATTACGCTGCAAACAGTGTGATATGAAACGTTTAATATCACACTTTAAGATCATTAATTTCACAAAACTGTTGGACGCACGCCAGTAATGATACGCCAGTTGCGAGGCTTTTTCTTTTGCGTTTTGTATTTACTGACTACGTAATTACAGCAAGCGGGCACGATGCGGGGGCTCTGTGCGGGGCGAGGGGCGCGAGGGGTAATTCGTGTACTCTTCCAGTTACTTTGGAAGTACTTAAAGGACTAAGTAATGTAAAGTTTTAAGTTCTTTGCATCACTTTCCGTTTCTTGAGTCTGATTTAGAACTCGTTTTTGCCGAATTGTCCTTTACTTCTAATGTTTTATTTTAAAATGTTTCCTTTGTATTTAATATTATTACTTGGGACTTGTCGTCGAAAACTCATTAGATTTGTGATTAATCTGAACACCGTTGTTACAGTTATTAAATCCGTATCAGTTTTATCGAAATCGGGATTTCAATAATTTGGAAACTTTGATCCGTTACGAGCCGAAGTTTTCATTTCTGACGATGATTCGAATTCTTTAGTATTTCACTTCGGGAATTTAAGAAAGAAAGACTATTTGATTTTGGTACTTCATATTACATTTTAATGGAGTACATTTTACAGATATCTAATGTCGAAAAGGCATTAATAAGAAAATGCAATTAAAGAAGTGTAGCTTTATTTAAGATATATTTACTCACGGTGTTTCTAAGTTAGCGCTTCGAGCACAACTTCTTGCATCTGCTGCGAGTCCTTTAACCAGCTTCCCAGTACATTCAGAGTCTCGGTTTACGTTGAGTAGCACGCCGGATATTCCTCTCTTCAGCCACACACACAGCGCAGTCGACAGCGCCAGTGCCGTGTTCTCTGCACATAAATCCAGAAATGCTCCATTGTCCGTCGCCGCGTAGTGCGCGCCTCTATCCTCCGACCATGTCCAATTCAAGCCGTTCCAGGACTGTAAATGGAACACAAATTATTTATTATTGCTTTGTACATGCATTGTCAATTGTATTTACTTAAATAAAATAAATATTGCATTTACATAAGAATTAGCCCACAAATCATGTTCAATAAAGTTGTAAGCAAAGTTAAGACGGTTTATCTTATGAATGAACTGTTAACAGGTCTGATCTATTTTATTAAAAAATATATTAAAAGTAAGAATAACCACTGGCGCATTCGGCTTGGCTTCCTTCCACAGAATAATATCTTCATAGCCGGTGTTCCGTGCTACGCTTAACTTGTACCATTCAGAGGCAACGCTTATTGCCTCCAACTTCAACGTAATTACCACTTTAAGCTCTGCGAAATATAAACAGAACACGTTTTATATTAAATGAACGGGAATAAAGTATAGTTAAGTTGAGAATGACGTAATCTTTTGAGGCTACGAGTAAGTAACGAGGCTAGGCGAGGCGAGTTAAGTCGGTCGCGAGCTATTTGTTTCAGTTACTTAGTGCTTATGGACCTAAGCAATCCATCAGTATCTTAGTAGACTTATTCCACTTTTTACTCTACTTACGTCTATTTGTGGAAAGTGCAACAGATGTCATATATATGATGATAGAGACAGTGCCAATGTAACTATTTAACAAAGACTTTAAAAAACTAATTGGTTATAGGCATTATTTGTAGCAAAAAAGAAATTTGCTCGATAATTCCACTAATACCGCGCTCGTCTGCTCAATTTCAAACGTGTGACGTCATAAAGTCATCGGCATGAATAATAAGATGTTATAGATATAAACACAATAATGTGGAAAAGATAATAATTTTTTTTTTTTTTTTTTATAAGCAAACAGAAGCCTCGTTTGTCATCAAACTAAACACGTTGTTACGTAATATACAGCAAACAAAAGAATATTCGTGTACAAAAAATCTTTTAATATATGAAATTGAAAGTGTATAAAAGATAATAAATTGGATGTTATCAATAGATAGATATTTAGTAACACAAACTTGTCTGTCGCGGTTTTGATTTCATCGTATTTATATATACTAGATTGTGCCCGAGCGCCGTCTGCGTGGAATGATTTCAAATCATTTTATATATGTATGTTTCGTCCAGTAACTTCATATTTTGCAGTTATTATATTTCAAGTTCTTTTGTCTTAGTATTAAAAAAATAATGTTGTCACTGAAGTTCATCATTATAATTTACAAATTAATATTCCTTTCAGCGCTCCTTGCAGATTTACTTATTTTTTTATACGTAAGATACGCAAACCAGCGATAGGCCACCTAATAGAATTAGCGAAGCGACCGTTGCCCATTTCATCTTTAATCGACGGAGGAGGGATGCAAAGAAAGATAATGTTTTCCCTTCACATGCATCATCTCATCCGGAAAGTCCGCATCTAGTTCCCATCCTTTATTTATTAGGAAAGGGGTAGGGAAGGGAAATGGGACTAAAATTGGGCCTCCAATATCTATATTCCTACTAATTCACGTGTAAAATATATTTTATGTAATTCATTTAAATGTATGTTTAATTAAGTCAGATAGAGATGCCATTTAACAGATAATTAATTGTAATTATACTTTTATCAATAACCTATCGCTTACCTAATCTATGGGTTTTTTCTATTAAAGATTTAAACGTATTTAAATCGCCATATCTGTCATCAATCTCAGCAAAGTTTGTCACACCTGGACACGTGCAGTCTGAGCTGCGAGCTGAGATAGCTGACAGAATAATTGCGTCCGCTCCCAGAGCTCGCACGTAACTCATTTGCTTAGTTACACCTGAAAACAAAACATCTATAAATTAACGAGAAACGTAACGAAAATATCTAGGCAATTAAAAAAGAAATTAAAACCTTCATAAATAACTTAAATGAGCTTTATTAAAACGAAGCATATTTCTTGAGAGTTACATCTTTGGAGAATTTCATTATTAAAAAGGATAAATTGTTGGTTAAAAGCATCATAAAGCAACAAAAATTATAATAAAATCCTTGGTTGATATTATTTCGACATATGCGATGTTTTTGAAACCTAGAATTGTTGATTATAATACTACCATGTCATTGCTGTTACCAAAGCTCGGTTGTTTTTATAAGCGAATACACGAATCTCTCAAATATTACCTTGCAAATCGCCCAATCCATCACCGTTGATGTCCTTGAAGGAATCAACTTGGATCCTGTAATAAACCGCATTACTCCACCAGCGCTCCGCAGGGCCTGCACCCCCCGTGCCCCCCACATTCCCCGCTCCCCCTACGCCCCCCGCACCCCCCACGGCCAGTACTAACGCGAGCGCGATGAGCTGCATGCTAACAGAGATTGCCTCTGTAATGATCATTTACCGTACACCATGACCTTGTAATTTGTCATACTAGTGATGAGACATCGTCTTTAACGTGTATAAAAAAAAATTCAAAACTGTCTGTGTGTTCTAATAGTTATTGGATAATATTAAAGATCGAGTAAAATTACATGAAAAGATTAGAAAATGTTATAAATGAGACAATAAAAATTCCTCCAAAATATTTTTAAAGATCAATTAGAAGAATAGCAAATTACAATAAAATATGTCTATTGTTCATTTAGATGAAAAATATTCTTAAACTTTATGTTTAAACTCAAGAAAATATTATTGTATAATACTGCAATCTCTGTTTAAAATCGCTTATAATTTTAATAAACCGGTACATTAAGCCGGAGTGCTGTCATTAAAACGTTTTAAATTTAAATCTAGAGCACGGCGTACCAGCCCGGTTGGGGTGGCGTGCAACTTTGCTAAAATACCGTAACATCCTAAATGCGGTACGGAGTGCACTCAGGGCCGTCACTACGCCGGAAGCGACGTCAGCAAGCGGCCGGTAATCGCCCCTCCGTTACGAGACAAATTACGGTACGTACCGAATAATATAGTACTAAAGAGGTCTCCGAGCACCGAACTATGTCATTTGTTGACGAACGCAAATTTTAATAACACCCCGGAGGATGATACGTTAGTTTTTACGAGGAAATTGTTTTCGTTACTTGAAGAATCCTGCTTTTTTTGTTCATATTTTGTACAATTGAAATTTACTGTTCAATTAAACTATGGAACAAGAGGTATCGCTGAATCAATGGATATAAAGTTGATTTCTTATTCTAGTCCGGCTATCGTGACTATAGGGATTTGTAAATGATGCTCATATTTTAATAATTTCCTAAAATTTATTTAACAATATTTATCTAGTGCCTAATATAGGAGTTAGGTTGGTGGCGCGCGCAACACTAGCATCTCCCCCGGCTGCAGACTCAACTCTCCCAATGATATTGCATCGCTGAAACAATTCATAATTGCTTTAAAAAACAAGAGTTACGTCTAATTTCTTATAAAGGGGATATAAACAAGCAAGAGGCTTACCTATAGGTAATAAATTATTCCAAAACAACAGAATTCATAGAAAAGACTCATTGAATACAGCTACTTATCGCATGAAAGGTGTTACTTATATCGATTGTGCTTCAAGCAATTTGTTAAAATTTTCCTTCTCTACATTATGATATATATTTAGCATGTGTCCGTGTTATCTTTACATGTAATTTCATTATATTTCATTGATAAATAGAAATTATATATGTTTTCCTTTCTACAATCTACAATAACGTAGTTATCTAATATTTAATCGATTTAGATAAAAAGAAATAGGCACTCGTAATAAAATATTTAGGATGTAATAACTATTAATCGTTTATAAATTGCACAGAGTTATCTTTGATATAAATAAAATGCTGAAAGATTGTGTTCTGCATCGCGCAAACATTTGAGAATGGGTTTCGATCATTTTGTTAAAGTGGATAAGGAAATTAGGTGATAATGTATAATACGTTACTTGATAAAAATATATTTGTCAAGTATTTACACTTTTCCTTCATATTAATAAGAGATAAGTCGCAATATAATTTTTAATTATACTTGTACAATCTCTTATTAGACAACCGTTAGATAACTAGAATTGTTTCCTGGAATGATCTAATAGATAAGGTAATCTTCAGTGTCATTCTCATTTAATAAATCAATACTATTTCGATGAAATAATTTTACCTAATAATTAAGCTTCAAATATGGATGATGTTGAGTGGGACATAGAGCAGAGCAGTTAATTTCTAACTCTGTATTAGAAGAGCTATTCGTTTATATCATAAAAACATACCCCGTTCTTCTCCTTGAGAATACACTTGATTCGTAGACGGTCATAGGTTCTGCCAGGAATGTGACTCTAGATAAGTCAACAGTGTCCTCCTCTGTTCCTACATTGAACACGAGGGCGTAGGTGTTGTATGTGGCGAGGTGACGCACCAGGACCAACGTGTTGACGGACAACGCCTCCAGGTAGTGAGTACCGTGGGACAGTGAGGCCATCCTGCGAAGTCTACTCAGAGATTGGTATACCTGAAAAATATTGAGCATATAATTTATTTAGAAACAAAATATAAAATTTTATAAAAAGTGGTTAAGGTATGGATTTTATTTCGTAGGTGCTACTTTAGAAAATATTTAATAAACCTTATAATGACTCCGTTCGGCATCTTTCTGCGCCTGTAGATTTATTTCCATGTAGTCTTCAGCTACCGGAAGCCAGGTGGTCTGTCCAGTGGTGAAGCCTGCATTGGTTGAGTTGTTCCAGTGGTAGGGCGTGCGTGCCGGGTCTCTGGAGTACTCCAAATAGTTGTCGGGATTACCTTGGTTGATCGCATTTACGTCAACGGTATCGTTCCAGCTGACGTACCCGTCCCTCATTCCTAACTCCTCGCCCTGGTAGGTGATGGCCACTCCAGGGAGTATCAAATTTAGTGCATTCAGACCATCCACCATATTAGACCTAAACCTTGACGGCGCTCTGCTATTATCGTGGTTGCCAAACTGAAAAAAAATTGTATTATGAAATCTCAGTTTAATGTAAAGGTCTAAAGTAATATCCAGTTCGATGAGGTTGTGCGCCATCTTTGTTGACTTTATGAATACTGGTGTTAATAGATATAAGCGATATATCAACTTACCACCCAATTAGCGACATTTCCGTACGGCATGTACGTGAGCCAGCGGCTGATGACGTAGACAAAGTCTCGGGCGTTAGAGGTGGCCCTGAGACTGGTGATGAAGTCAAAGTTGAAGGGGAAGTGGCAACCAATGCGGTCGCGCTCGTCGCCGTAGTAGAGCATAGTCATTGAAACGTTAGCATATGCTTCTGCTAGAAGTACTCTGGAATAAACTTGAATTTCAGTTCGTATGTATGTAACCCATGACGAAGCAAAATAACGTCGGAGAAAGTTACACCTACAACAGTTTGTAAGATATACATAATAAAAAGACATACACAGTATAGAGCTGAAAACTTACATAGTTTCTGAATCGTTGTCTTCCTGCCATTTGTCTGCGAATTCTCTCCATTCGTAGACAACATCGTAAATCTCTATTAGGTCTTTTATATGCACCTGTGTGGTGTATCCGATCTGATCACTTGTTACGAACATGTTCCCGGATAGAGGTTCATCAGGGAAGAAACCTCCGTGATCGTCGGGGTCGGCTTCGAAGAGGTGGGGAAGAGCGTCCAAACGGAAGCCGTGCGCCCCTTTCTCTATCCAGAACTGCATGATGTTGATCATCTCCTGCCTGACGGCGGGCTCGCGGAAGTTGAAGTCTGCCTGCTCTACTGCGAACTGGTGCAGGTAGTACTGTTGCCGCTCTTCGTTCCACTCCCACACACTTCCACCGAACTGACTGATCTATAATACAGTTTAATATATGAGGATACTTACGATTTTCAAAATATATGTATATTGGAAAAGATTTCAAACCCAAGGCTATATTTATGTTTTAATATATTTATAGAAACGTTACCCAATTGGAAGGAACTGTGCGGTTCCCATTAGCATCTATCTTAGGATCAGCCCATATGAAGAAGTTCTCGTAGCCAGGCTCCCTGGCCACTGATTTCTTAAAGTATTCTGACTCTGTGCTCGCGTGGTTCGGCACGTAGTCCAAAAGCACCTTGATACCTTAAGAGTCGAACAATTTTTATTGATTTACTGTTTCTTTGCATGTCTCATTTTAAGCTATTTGTCTGTATATATATATTATAATAATATTTTTATTTCTGCGTTTTCATCAAAAGTGCTTATGCTTATAGAGAAAAATGTACCAAGTTGTCGAGCTCGCCGAATTAGTTCTTCAAAGTCAGCCATGGTGCCGTACTCATAGTGAATATCGTAGAAGTCACTGATGTCGTACCCGAAGTCCACCATGGGGGAGACGAAGATGGGCGAAAGCCAGATCGTGCCGACGCCCATCTCCACGAAGTGTTCCAGTTCGCTCGTTATACCTGTTGAAGAATTTCATACCCATTATATCTTTATACACATGTAAGTTTTAGCTTGTGTGATGATTTTTCGGATGACTATTTCGGAGATGAGATATGGTCTAGAAATTTTTATGAATTTAAGAATTGAAAGTGGTACTTATTGATGAGTTCATTACTCATTCAATGAAGGTGTTTTCTATGTCGTGTGACAACATTGTGTCAACGTTTTCTTCAGGCGATAAACTGTACGAACCTTTTAAATCACCAATTCCATCGCCATCAGTGTCTTTGAATGAACGTGGATAGATCTGATAAATGATCGTTCGCTCCCACCAGTCCAATTCTATAATATCTGGAGGCGTCGAGTCGCTTCTCATCAATGCCCAAGTCACGGTTCCCACCACCACGCCCACCACAACCGCGACCAACACCGATATCAACACTACTTTACCCCACGACGGCATTTTTAACTATGCTCATCGTTCACATGGGAACCAATATATAAATGAAACATTATCTGCTAATAATCTAAATTGCGATGACAAATTTCAGGATAATGATAACTTGTCATTGAAAAACCTTGAATAATTGTAAATGTAAACTATTTTGATAGTGGATTGTATAAAAATTTCCGGTGCCTTGAGCGACAGCTTAATTTAACAGCGAAGTTGACTGTTACATCAAGGGAAGCACGTAAAGGACAATACATGAATAATGCATATCCTTTAAACAATTGTTCATTTATAAATGAAAAGTCACTTGTTATCGGAGAAATGGAACTTGACTGTAGTAAAACAATGTCCATACAAATACTGTCTGTTTTTTACATTCAGATATTGTGTGTGCCGCGGACGCGAAGTGTTGAGCATTTCTCTACCACGAATAATCGACTTTCTTTTGTGAATTTTAATGTTATTTTTTTTCCCAAAACTGAGTGATTTGAATTTGTTTTATGGTTGTGTCAGTGACTTCTCTAAATGTGATATCACGTTACGCCGTTGGTTTGAACAGTTTAATACGATATGTGCAAGAAAAATGTGAATGTGCTGAATAAAGGTGAGTAGGTATATCCATCACTTCAGCTCGTTAAGAATGTCTTATCCGGTTTTAACTTAAACACTATATTAATATTCATGAAAAGTAAATGTCAAGCACATCGCAACCTTAAAAATAGGAAATTTTCATGTCACATAAATTTATAAAAAGCTATAGTTACCCCAGATAGTTAGCCTGGTTTTTGAATAGGTAGAAATTTCAAACTATTAGACTTTGAAATAAATCAAAATTAAAATAACATTCCCTATTTATTTTCCCATCAAAATATGCATACCTCAAGTATTAAATTCAGTTCATTTTGATAATCACATTTGGTACATGAAATGGGTTTATTCCTAAGATATACATTTTAGCAGCCATCTTTTCTTATCTCTCATTCACAAGTCCTAGGTGTTGTGTTACGCCGCTCATAATATCTTTGCATAATTTAAAGAAAATTCACAGTGAAAAAATTAATTGGAATATGTAAACTATAATTTTATAACAAAATCATACTTTTTAAATTGGCCTACGTCCAGCTACCACTGGAAATCCATGTTACGGCAGAGCGATTCTAAGGACTGCAAATGCAGTACTAGCGTTACATTTATATTATTATAGATATATGTATCCCAAATGTGCTGTATTCATTGAATTATTATTATATGTCTCGTAGAAGCTAAAAAACAACCAATGAGACTAAAATTTTTAAATGAAGTACTCAATTTAAGACGTTAGTAATATAGAGACAGATTCAATTGAATTGTTGTGTAGTTGTCGTTTAATTTAGTCACACATGCAACGTACAGACACAAGTACAACATGGCACAGGCTACAAATGTACAAATAAATCTTATTAGCTTTCCGGTTCAGATCAAAAAATTCTCAAAATAGTAAAAAAACCGTGACTCGCTTTTGCTTTGTATCCCACATATCGTGAAAAACAGTACCCACCTATTTCATACAACAATAAACTTTTTGTAGCCGTTACACATTTCATTTTGAAAACCGATAACTTTCTGGCCGCGGGGTAAAATCGTGCAAAATTTTATTGCTCCAAAAAGCTACGAAAAACAACGCTTTTATGACGCGCACCGCAAAGTGGTAAATGTTTGGAACAAGTATGGAACGACGGAATTCCGCAGCGGAAGCCAGCTTTCGTATCAAAGGCCGGGATAAACGTTTCCAAATAAAACACCAAATTGTATTCGAGAGCAACTTAGCGCTTTATATCGTATTTACACAAAGCAAATTCATGTAACGCAAGCGTAGGTGGCTGTAATAGTTTCCACATTGTTTTCGACTCTGCTCCCAAAAATTTGGCTTAACAGTTTATACGTTTCATCTGTTGTGTTGTATTTTAAAAGCTAAATCGTCTGTTGTGTATACTCTGTTGAATAAAGTTTACACAAAAGTGTAGGAATTGTCTAATCAGGATATCTTTGCAACCGGGAATCAATATTAATTATAATGCGAAAGAGTAATTGGTTTTTCAACTCTGAACATTGCTTGGGTGCTGGATTTGCATTTATTATGAAGCAAACAACAGTTTAATGATATTGGCATTGAAACCGCACGCATCGTAAGAAGGTTCATGTCTCTGCAGCCCTGACCACTGGTTGTCTGAGTCATGGGACTCCGCAGCCGGTGGTGCTCTATTTTTAATATAATATAACCTTGACATTTTAAATACTAAGGTATCGGTTTGATATTGTAATGTGTAATTTTTCTTACTTTCTTAATGAGAACGCCTTGCTTATTCTCATAATCAGGATGACGACGACGACTCTGACGAAGTACAAATCCTCTGATGGAATTGCCGGCTACTCAAGTAATAAAATGATACAAAAGAAAGTGAAATAACTGTAACCTGTTTTTTATTCATTAATTTGATAGTTTATTGGAGATAATGTAGATCGCATGATTTCATACGCCATTAACTGCATTACCAAAACAAATCATTATTTGGTCTCTTTTTTAAAAGATAATGAGAGCATATGTTTTATTTTATATTTCCTATTTATTTATCAGGATAAAATGAGACAAGATTATTAAAAACAAACAGTTTATTAATTAATTGATAATACTACGTTCCATTTCTATATTAAAAGGTATAACTAAGATCTGATTTATCAACATACAGATTAAATTTAAATTATCACTTATAATAAATAATATGTATAACATTTGACCTCATATTTACAACATTTTACTTTATCCAATATCAATGAAGCAAATCAAACCGGATCCGACTTCAATACGAGCGCCTCTCCCGCCTGCAGCGTCACCTGCTCACCGTCTATAGTAGCTCTGTAACATATGTAAATATTCACAATAAATTTACTTTACATTCTTTTATAAATATCTAATCGTACATAGTATTGTATTGTAAGGATGCAATAACGGTAGATACACGGGCACTGAATGAAAAAAACTATAGACTGGTACGACCACGAGGTACACGGAGTCGTTATTTTTTAATAGCAAATGTGATTTTACAAAATTTCGAAGATAAACCAACCAAATTTTGCGCAGGAAATTTTTAGTTTAACGTACCCCGCTAGTCTGTTTGAATGTACACTAGATACGTATATAGTGGCCGGTAGCTTGAGATGCGGTACGCGGTCCAGTCGCACCGTGTCAGCTGTGTCGGCCACGTTGAACAATAGCACGTAAGTGTTGTGTGTGGGCAGGCTCCTCACTAGGTACAACGTGCGATCCGATAATGCTCTAATATCGTACTCGCCGTACGCCAGCGTCTTCTCCTTGCGAAGAGCTGTCAATGCTTGATACACCTGGAAATTATGACAAAATATCCTTAAAAGTACGTTTAAAACTGGAACACAAAATAAAGTACTTAAATCTTTTGAACATCTCAAAGCATAAAAGTTGAATAGATGTAGTACCTTGTAATGGCTTCGAGTATCTTCTTTCTGTTTCGCTAGATTGATTTCTTTGAAATCATCAGCGACGGGTAGCCAAGTTTTCTCTCCTGTTGAGAATCCGGCGTTGGTGCCATTGTTCCAGTGGTATGGGGTTCTGGCTGGATCTCTGGAGTAAAGGTGGTAGGTGTCCTCGTCTCCTCTATTGCAGGCCTCTACATCGACAGTGTCCTCCCAGCTGACGTAGCCGTCTCTCATCCCGATCTCTTCGCCCTGGTACGTCACTGCCACTCCCGGTAGCAACATATTGAGAGAGTTCAAGCCGTCCACCATGTTGTGGCGGAATCGAGTTGGCATCCTGTTGTTGTCGTGGTTGCCAAACTGAAAATAATATTTCAAATCTTGAGCGAGTGTAAGCATCCAACGTTGTAAGCTGTAAATAACTCTTATATATATTTATAATTTAAAAGTGCTAGCATTAAAATTATCACTTTCGATATTCATTTTGCGAAAAAAAAACAAAAAAATTATACATCCATAGACTATTATCACTTCTTTGGCGTAAAAAATTCTTACCACCCAGTTGGGAACACCACCGTGAGGCATGTACGTCAGCCACCTGAGAATGATGTAGACAAAGTCTCTGGCATTTGATTTAGCGGATAAATCGGTGATAAAGTCGAAGTTAAAGGGAAAATGAGCGCCCACCGCGCCCTCCTCGTTCCCATAGTACAACATTGTCATCGTCACGTTAGCGTAACCTTCCGAGAAGAGTACTCTGAAATATAAAAAAAAATTACGTTCAAAATTATTATACATACTACGGAATTGATAGAGAAAACTGGGAGTGCACAAATATTTATAATAACTGACCTAGTGTCGCCAGGATGGTCCTCAAGGTATTTGTCGACGAATTCCCTCCATTCATAAACGATATCATAAAGCTCGATTAGGTCTTTGGTGTAAAGCGGAATCGTGTAACCCAACTGGTGCGGTTCGAAATGTATTATTCCACTCAGAGGGTCATCAGGGTAGCTACCGTTGTGGTCGGCGGGGTCCGCTTCAATCAGGTAAGGCAGAGCGTCCACCCTGAATCCATCAGCACCCTTGTCTAGCCAGAACTCCATGATGTTGAACATTTCTTGCCTGACCACTGGATTTCTAAAGTTGAAGTCTGCTTGCTCGATTGCGAACTGGTGGAGGTAGAACTGTTGACGAGCCTCGCTCCATTCCCATGCCGATCCCCCGAACTGGCTGACCTGTAATTTTAGGTAATCATACGATATACAAGAGGTAGTAAACTTATGAATCTGAGCAATACATCCGTTTAATTTATGAGAAATAACCATAGACTCGAAGAAGACTATAAAAGAGAGAGATTGAGTGAAGGTCACGTAGCGAGGTTTCAATTAAAATCTTACCCAGTTAGAAGGTGGACGCATAACACTGGCATTATTGGGATCTGGTCCTGGTGAGTCAGCCCACACGAAATAGTCTTCATATCCTGGTACTTTCTTCTCAGAATTGATGAAATACTCAGACTCTGTGCTCGCGTGATTGGGAACAAAATCCAATAGTACTTTTATACCTGCAAAATAAATAGTTATCACTTTTATTATACTATTTCTACTTTATTAAAGAAGCAGATTTTATCAACAAGGTGAGATTTGATATTAATGTGTACAAATAGTTTTATTTGTATCATTAAATAAATAACAATAGATTTTCATATCACGAATTGCCTCGTGTTTTAGGGGACATTTTATGTCACCTATAAACGAAAACCAAATTTAATTTCAATTCATCACATGCAATTATTGGCATTACCTTGAAAAAAAAATGGATGCGGAATTTAAATACTGACCTAATTCATGGGCTTTTTTCAGTAATTCCTCAAAATCTTCCATAGTTCCATATTCGTAGTGAATTTTATAAAAATTGCTGATATCATATCCGAAATCAACCATGGGAGATTCGAAGATCGGCGACATCCAAATCGCATCGACACCGGCGTCCACAAAATGTTCCAACTCGCTGATGATTCCTGCAATTACGACAAATGCTTGCAATTTACCTGACATTTGACGATTATGTTATTGTGAGTCAGGAAGTACACCTATACTTTATTGTAAATCACAATTACGTCGGGGACTGATGGCGTAATCACTGCGCAAAATGTCAGATAAGTATATTTTTTTAGTTTACTGTTGATGTTTTATTTATAACGTTGTTATTGTTAAGCAAGTACTATTTTAGATATTCAGCTTGGATATGATTTAATATTGTACTTCATCTTATATTACAGCGTTGTTTAACATTTGTAATTCCAGCTAAATTTACAACATTGCCTTTAACTGATTTATCTACTTAGTCTTCTCTAATCTAATTAGTCTTAGTAGTTAAAAATGTTTATTATCATTATGACCTTCCTTTTACTTATCTAAATCAATCAGCGTTGTTCATATTAATCATGATTGAACATTTCTATTATATCATTTCTTGTAGGCCTTTTTTACGATATTATCGTTTTTAATATCAATAATATGTATTATCTTTGATTGAAATGTTTTTCTGCTCTACTTTAAAAATTATCGTTAATATATTTTGCATAATTTACATATAAACACATTTTCATGCATATGCATTAATTTGCATACAATATTGTCTGTTTATTTAGTTTGGTTAAGCTTTATCGAAATTGTTTTTAACTTATGTGTTAATTGATTCAATAACAGTATTTTTGGGTTCATTGTTCCCTTATCGTATTACCTGACGATTGTTTTTACGATAGCAAGCTAGGGAATTCTTAGGGTGAAAGAAAACATCGTGATGCAACCTGCACGTATCTGAGAAGAAATTCAAAGATACGTGTGAAGTCAACCAACCCGCACTTGGCCAGCGTGGTTGACTATGGCCTAATCACCCTTAACTTAGGGTAGGCTCCGAGCCCCTCGGTGGGGACGTATAGTGAGCTGATGATGTCATGATGTCAAGCTAGGGAATTTACGGTCTTAGTCAGATTTTCGAAGTCAATGTATGTTGGGTTCTTAAATATTACTATTGAAGTATTGTAGGTTGCGATTTTATCCATAAATAAAATATATCTAACCTTTCAAGTCACCAATACCGTCTCCATCGCTGTCCTTGAACGATCTTGGGTAGATCTGGTAGAGTACGCAGTGCTTCCACCAGTCAAGGGGCAGCAGTTCGGGCGGCGCAGGCGCAGTCGTCTGCGTCGATAGTACCGCGAATGTTATACCAACTGGAAATTGAATATGAACACACACATATTGAATAAAGAGACAAGATGTAGTTTTCTCTATTTGTGGATAAAACGGGGAAGCAGTGAATCTCATTTAATTTTCGCTTCACCTTTTGTTCCGAAATGATGAAATGTTAGGGTCGCGTTTATTGGAAAAAGTAAGAGATAAATTCAAGTTAAGGGACATAAAACGATATAGCCGATTGTTTCAAAAACATTGCAAATATTTTAATTCGCAAGAAATTCGTTGTTATTTTTCTATTCATTTTCAAAACTCCAATGCTTGATAAAATTACTGCAAAAATGAACAGTTATGTTCAAAATTTCTATGTTTTTTGATGTTGTTTATTTTTCTTAAGCCGCTTGTAATCTTTAGAGCAATTACCGCATAAATTAATAACATTAAAATATAATCTTATCGTAACTCAGAAGTAACAATAAAAAAAGTAATGACAAATATTACCTCAATGACAAACAATACTATTATTAATTTCTTTATTGTATCATTCAAGATTAAAACAGGAGTATTTTAATTAACCTTATGTGTTGTTTTATACGTAACCAATTTAGTAAGATAGGACGAGTTGTTCTGTTTTCAGAATGTTATCTACAAAAATAAGCGTGACCTAGTGAGGTCCGTGTGGGTTTAAATTAATAATTGGTATAATATACAATAGCTTACTTGCAATCCCTCCCATGACGGCGAGGGCGGCCACCGCGATCGCGGCCGCTTTCAGAGCTGTACCCATCGCGTCTGTGCCGGGGACAATGCGCGTGCGCAACTCTCCACCATTATTTATCATGGATCATGCCGACTTTAAAGATTGCGCTATCATGATCGATGAATCTTTTCGTACTAGTTGGGGTGCTATTTAGATTCTAATGCCGTTGCTATAATAGTTGACACCACTTTACAAAGTTTAAGATTTGTATAAAGTATTTTCGTGGCTCTTGAGTTGGTTCTAATATTTGCGCAAAATTTTGTTATTCTTTCTACTATAGCGACAAAGATTGGTCAGATCTTAAAGAGTCGCAAGTGGTTTAGCACTTTAGTCAGTAAATAATATAAAGTATGCACTACAATAACCTGGCATGTTCTTTTTTTTAATTACAGTTAACGAATAAAAATGAAATTAAACAAGTCTGAAGAAGACAATGCTTATCTTGACACAATATTTTGTTTTTAACAGAAAAGTGTTATTAACAGATGAGAGTAACGTTTTAGAATTGTAACCTTAATTACGTTTAAATAACGATAACGTTATATCTAGAAAGAACATGTACAACATATAATTAGCATACTTCAAAAACATTACACGCTCTAATAAAGAAAATTCTATAATATATTACTAATAACAAAAAAAATAAACTTCAAATGTTTAAGCAATAGTTTATTTAAATTTTTAAAATTTAACGTTTTAAATATTACTATTTAATCTACGTATGTGCTACAAAAACTAACGTAACCGTTTCGGGCCATGTTTTAAATATCCTATGATGATTTTAGATGCGAAAACCACAACAATAAAATCGTTTCTATTTTGTTTAACGTTTACATATACATATGTACATACGTAGCACTTCGCCGATCGTTTTACAGATAGTTTATTTTAAATACAGTATATAATCAAACATATAATCAACTTTAATCCCGTCATTATCAACTCCACACGAGTTTTATAATCCAGTTGTTATCAAATAAATATCCGGTAGATAACAAATGTCGTATACAATTACATATGTATATTTATTTGTACAGTAACTTACCAAAATAAAATCTTCTAACAAATCTGTCCATTGTCATTGGAACAACTCCCATTATTAACTTCTAATGATTGTTTAAGTATAGCTTAATTTGGTCTTATACTTTGTTTGAAATGAGTTAAAAAGAAACGCACTTTTTACTTGATAATGTTATCAATATAATTTATGATATCTAACACTGTTAACAGTGTAATACTTTGAGTTGAAGCTATGCTGTACTCAATATTCTTTTTAATAATAACGCATTATAACCATTTGCAAGACGTGTTGTTACTATTCTATTTAAAAATTCAAGTGAGTCACATCTTTGGAAACATCTGCTTTTATAGAGTAAGGTCTTTCGTACACGAAGCTACGTAAACCTTAGAAACCCGGCGATTTTAGTCTTACCGAATACAATGTTAAAGATGTTTGGGTCAGGCGTGCGTCGTCGCCAACATTTTGATCTGTCAGTCGCTCGATACCTGTTTGTTAATACCGTCGTGAGAAAAGATGGCAAAGCAAATTTACACAGTCGAAAATTTGTAATGTCGTGTTATTCATGTAGCCGTGAAGTTGCTACTTGTATACGCAGATACGTCATTCCCGTGACGTAAAAAGTAAAGCATTTGATATTCGGGCAAACAACATCAGGAAAAACTACCACGTATTATAAGAAGAAGTAATTCATAATAGCGCCAAAGTTTCAATAGTGAAATCGAATCCACTCCTCCGCTTATTAATGACGTCGGCTGACACCTGAGCCGCTGCAACTCATCGCATTATTCAATCTAAATGGCGATGATTAATTGGGACGCGTCAGGTCCACTCGTGTTTGCACTCCAGCCGCTCGTGCGCGGCGCGTGTAAGAAGCGAATTGATTTTTCGCGGATTTTTTCATGGGACGCATTAATCACACGCAGGGACCGGGGCTTAATTAATCACGCTGGAGGTCTCGCAGCGCCTGTCGATACCAGGGCCTCGGCCAGGGTCCGCCGCCTCATTTACAATGGAATTAGGCGGTGCGCCGCCTAAACGAAATATTCGACGATCCAATCGCCAATCGCGGCGGAGCGGTACGTGAGAAAAATATTATGAGGTCGTATGAAGCCATTATGGATGTATATTTAGTGTTCGTAAGCCGAAGGATTTCGCTCGAGTGTGCGTATGTGTAATCAGGATTACGGTCCGTTAATCATGAGGAGAATATAAAGTTAATATTGCTCTCAAAGCTGCTTATGTATTCTGTAATCATACTAATTATGTGCTTAATAATATGTGACTCAAAGGCAGCTAAGTCAATAGATAAGTAAAATATGATTATATTATGTTTAACATAGTAGCTGCTGTAGATTTGTAGCAATTCAGAAGATAAATTGGGTACTAGAAGTATGTAAGTATGTTGTAAAGGAAAGGTTTCTGATTGGATTCGGTAACCATGTTACAAGATTGTACAGGAGATGAATATCACAAATGTAGAATATATTTTCGCGAACTAAGAAGCAATATCTGTCGAGAAATGGTTAACTGTACATTCCACGAACCAAAACTGTCGAATTGTTTATCCGCTCAATGTCAGAGCTGTTAAGTGACTTGCGGATATTTGACAATTTTTAGTTTCTTCTAAACTTACTTTAATTTATTTTATTATTTTTGTTATTTATTACATTTTAGTTGCTTAGTATACATATATTTATATATTTTTCGATTTATTGTTAAATATTTTTAATAATAAAATATACATGCTATAAATTTAATGACGGGAAGTTGTCTATTGAATCTTCAAACGAATGTGGGTCGAGGGATTCGAAGGGTCTGTGAGGTTGGATTTTGACGGAAAATATGAACACGTTTCGGTCTCCGATTCAATCCTTTTTGACGCTTTTTCAAAGTAATGAATTATTCAGCGATCGTTGTATATAAACTTATGTACTACGACATGATTGTTGACAAAATTATTTCATATTTTTAAAGTGTAATCGTTACTCAAATTATTTTATGCAAATAAAATTTCCGAGAGATAAAGAAAGTAAAGAGTCTACTAGGAGAGTTGCTAACATTAATTTCGAAGCCGCAACTCGACTGTAGGATAATTACAAAGCGTCTTGTTTTATTTGTAAACTGTTCGAGTTTTAGATATTCACTAGTTAGAACATGAATCGGAATTTAATTAAGACTAGACGAGAGAGAATCGACTTGTGCGGGAACAAAATAAATTGCACGCGATGAGAACTTGTTTTTTTTTATTTAGTTGTTTAACACGTCCTTTTTTGCATCTCGGTCGGGAGAGAATTTTAATTGCGCTCGTAGTTTCAACGCCATGCGCCCCCGTAAACCTCGCCTACGCCACGCACTCGTCTGGAGAATATACGAGACTCTTGTGGATGTTGCGAAATTATGTGAATATAATTGTTGAAAATACATTTAAAATGTTAACTAACAATATTTTTGGTTTGCTACTAACTTTAGTATCCTTAAGTGTATAGTATCCTTGCAGGATGCAGGACTTACAACACCTTGAAACCAACAGTTGTATTCGAAGCGGAGTTTTTATTAATTTATGATTAATACATAAATATTCTATTTCACCAACAAAGTTTTATTTTTAAACTTTTCTATAATCATCATAAAAATGTTACCATAATTCCTTGCCTTTCAAAATACCGAACAGTGGAATTTATTTTTAAACTTTTCTATAATCATCATAAAAATGTTACCATAATTCCTTGCCTTTCAAAATACCGAACAGTGGAAAAAGTTTGGAATAGAACATCAAAGTCATCTTTAACCAATCAAAACAAAACACAGAATAAAAACGAAACGAACGATCAAGCGTAACGTCGGAATAACCGCGGGCGGGAAAAAAAATGAAAAAAATAACTAAAGCGGATGTTTTCGGATATGCGGCTACGCGGCGCTACGAGCCGGCTATGGGCTACGGCTATCGCTACGCGGGGCGGGGTGAACGACCCAGTGGTGGAGCGGGTCGATACCCTCCCCGTGCCTCCCCCGAGATCGCGTAGGCTCGCCCTCTTCAAGGATGGCTCGTGGGTGTAACCGATCTCATGTAAATATTTCCTTTAAGCAGACAATGAACGCTTAAAATATTTTATTCGGTCTCTTTAAGTCAGACCCCGCATTGAAAATATAGAAAAATGGGCTTGAAATAAAAACTTTATTAGATAGTTTTAAAAGACATAGAAAAAATAAAGATTACTTACTATTTTTTTAAATATATGAAGGTTGAAAATCATTAAATATCATAAAATGCGTTAAAATATTTTAATCAAATCGTGAAAATAAAAAAGAAAACCAAATTCAGTTAAAATAATATTTCCCTTATCGCGTCATCTTTACCGCCCTGAAAGTACAATGAGGAACTAAGTTAAACATTGCTGTAATGGGGTGAAAGCCATATAACCTTCGCTTTACTATTAACTTAGGGGCCTATTACTACAATTACGCGTTATCACCGGGCAGTAATAACTTATTACGTGGTAATTACGCCAACGGAAGTCCTGCGGGATACGTGACATCATATTATAGTAATATAGTTTTATTGCGTTGTTTTGGTCATTATCTTTATTATTATAACTAGGAATTTCTAATGTTTTTGGATTAAAATAAACAAGGACTTACTTGTGGGCCATGTTTTAGGTCAATAAATAATTAATTTCAGAAATCATCCTATTCGTTAAGCGTCTTAAAATATTAATAGGAATCCCGATATCGCGTGTTGATTGTCTACGGGGAAGTAATGGGTTTTTCCATTCGACGTGAAGCATTGTCTGTGGAGGTGCGTGGAGTACGGCACGTCAGCGTCGCAGTAAATAGGTTAATGTGTCGGCGCCACTTCGATAATGGGAACGTAGGCTACGGTACGCTTTTCAGTTATTTTCAACGTACACCTATTGTCGGAATAGCCTGTTTACGCCGTTTTCATATTTGTATAAGGAGAGAATTAAAAAAAAATTACATGCTCATAGTTTACATTGGATTGGAGAAAGAAGTTCATTGCCACATAATTTATCATGAAAATATCATACCAGGCTTCATACGTTTAAAATGAATATAA